CTCAAAACACAGCCTTTTATTCTGAGTTCTATCGTGCACAAAGTTCTACCAGGAAACAGTCAAAGGCTTAAAAGAGTTAATAATTCAAGAGGAACAAATTATTTCAAAGTGCCTTTTGCCAGAACATCAGAGATAAGTTTTTGTGTGTTTGTATGCAGAGTAAAATGATAGAGTTGTATGGAAGCTTATTTAAAACGTTGCCATAATATTAATTATTTTAAAAAACGATTTAAAAGGTGGACTGCCACCTTAACGTGGTGGGGGAGTTTGAGTACTCGGATGATCCTGGGAGCTATGCTGTCTGGGGCTTCATGCCCCTGGTAGGGTCTCCCATGGCAGACAGGTCTCAGGTGACGAGTCAGACGAAGAGCAGTCAGAAGCCAACATAGACAGCACGAAAAGAAGAACCGTGACGTCGCCCGGCATGGCGCAGCCGGGGCCCCACCCTGGAGCCAGGCCTGGGGTTGGGGCTCGAATGCGAGCGCCTGGTGGCCGGGCCTTAGCCCACGGGGCCCGGCCGGGCTCAGCCCGAAAGGACGACGTGGGCAGTCCCTCCTGTGGGCCCACCACCCGCAGAGGGGTCCGTGGAGGCTCGGTGCAGAGAGGACTGGGCAGCAGTCGAAGGCGGAGACCTCGGCGACCCAGTCCGCACACCCAACATCTGGCTCTTGGGACGTGGAACGTCACCTCACTGGGGGGGAAGGAGCCCGAGCTTGTGGGGGAGGTCGAGAGGTACCGACTAGAGATAGTCGGCCTCACCTCCACACACAGCTTGGGCTCTGGAACCGAACTCCTTGAGAGGGGTTGGACGCTCCACTTTTCTGGTGTTTCTCGCGGGGAGAGGCGGCGAGCTGGGGTGGCCATACTCATTGCCCCCCATCTCAGCCGCCACGTGTTGGAGTTCTCCCCGGTGAATGAGAGGGTCGCGTCCCTCCGCCTTCGGGTGGGGGACAAGTCTCTCACTGTTGTGACGGCCTACGGGCCTAACAGCAGTGCAGAGTACCCGGCCTTCTTGGAGTCCTTGGGAGGGGTACTGGACGGTGCACCGCCCGGGGACTCCGTCATTCTCCTGGGGGACTTTAACGCCCATGTGGGAAGCGCCAGTGACACTTGGAGAGGGGTGATCGGGAAGAATGATCTGAACCCGAGCGGTGTTCAGTTGTTGGACTTCTGTGCCAGTCACGGTCTGTCCATCACGAACACCATGTTCGAGCACAAGGGTGTCCATCAGTGCACGTGGCACCAGGACACCCTAGGCCGGAGGTCGATGATCGACTTTGTAGTTGTATCATCTGACCTTCGGCCGCGTGTTTCGGACACTTGGGTAAAGAGAGGGGCGGAGCTGTCAACCGATCATCACCTGGTCGTGAGTTGGATCCGCTGGCAGGGGAAGAAGCCGGTCAGACCTGGCAGACCCAAGCGTGTAGTGAGGGTCTGCTGGGAACGTCTCGCTGAGCCCCCTGTCAGACGGACTTTCAACTCACACCTCCGGGAGAGCTTCTCCCAGGTCCCGGCGGAGGAGGGGGACATTGAGTCTGAGTGGACCATGTTCTCTTCCTCTATCGCCGATGCGGCGGCTCGTAGCCGTGTTCGCAGGGTCTCTGGTGCTGGTCCCGGCGGCAACCCCCGAACCCGGTGGTGGACACCGGCAGTAAGGGATGCCGTCAGGCTGAAGAAGGAGTCCTATCGAGCCATGATGGTTCGGGGGACTCCTGAGGCAGCTGTCCAGTACCGGCAGGCCAAGCGTGCCGCGGCCCGGGCTGTTGCAGAGGCAAAAACCCGGGACTGGGAGTAGTAAGTAAGTAAGTAATCTTTATTTATATACCACCTTTTCACTGCAAATCTGAGTCTCAAAGCGGTTTACAATTGTTAATTTTTGGGCATTTGTCTCTCACTCCACACAGAGATGGGAGGGGCCAGTACACAAGGCACATGCCAGACCTATTGTACATATTTTTAGTGGTAGGGGAAACCGGAGTACCTGGAGGAAACCTACGCAGACACGGGGAGAACATGTAAACTCCACTCAGAAAGGCCCTGGTCCGACCGGGATTCGAACCCAGGACCTTCTTGCTGAGAGGCGAGAGTGCTATCCACTCAGCCACCGTGCCGCCAGGGAGGAATTCGGAGAGTCCATGGAGCATGACTATCGGTCGGCCTCGAAGAGATTCTGGCAAACTGTCCGGCGCCTCAGGAGGGGGAAGCAGTTCTTTGCCAACACCGTGTACGGTGCGGGGGGTGAGCTGCTGACCTCGACCGGGGATATTGTCGGACGGTGGAAGGAATACTTTGAGGTTCTCCTCAATCCCCCCGTCACGTCCTCCGCTCCGGAGGCAGAGGCTGAGGATGTTGGGGCGGATACATCCATCTCCCTGGCAGAGGTTACCAAGGTGGTTGGCAGCCTCCATGGTGGCAAGGCGCCGGGAGTGGATGAGATCCGTCCTGACTATCTAAAGTCTCTGGATGTTGTAGGACTGTCTTGGCTGACACGTCTCTGCAACATCGCGTGGCGATCGGGGGCGGTGCCAATGGAGTGGCAGACCGGGGTGGTGGTCCCTCTCTACAAGAAGGGGGACCGGAGGGTGTGTTCCAATTATCGTGGGATCACACTCCTCAGCCTCCCTGGTAAGGTTTACTCCAAGGTACTGGAGAGGAGGTTACGGCCGATGGTCGAATCTCGGATTCAGGAGGAGCAGTGTGGTTTTCGTCCCGGCCGTGGAACACTGGACCAACTCTACACTCTCCATCGGATACTCGAGGGTTCATGGGAGTTCGCCCAACCTGTCCACATGTGCTTTGTGGATTTGGAGAATGCGTTCGACCGTGTTCTCCGGGGTGTCCTTTGGGGGGTCCTCCGTGAGTACGGGGTCCGGGGTCCTCTGCTGAGGGCCGTCCGGTCCCTGTATGACCGGAGCCAGAGCTGTGTGCGCATTGCCGGCAGTAAGTCAGACCTGTTCCCGGTGCATGTTGGCCTCCGCCAGGGCTGCCCTTTGTCACCGGTTCTGTTCACTGTATTCATGGACAGAATTTCTAGGCGCAGCCAAGGGTCGGAGGGGGTCCGGTTCGGGGACCACAGGATTTCATCTCTGCTGTTTGCAGACGATGTTGTCCTGTTGGCTCCAACGAACCAGGACCTGCAACATGCACTGGGACGGTTTGCAGCCGAGTGTGAAGCGGCTGGGATGAGAATCAGCACCTCCAAATCTGAGGCCATGGTGCTCGACCGGAAAAAGGTGCCTTGCCCTCTCCGGGTGGGTGGAGAGGCCCTTCCTCAAGTGGAGGAGTTCAAGTATCTCGGGGTCTTGTTCACGAGTGAGGGAAGGATGGAGCGTGAGATTGACAGGCGGATCGGTGCAGCGTGCGCAGTGATGCGGTCGCTGTATCGGACCGTTGTGGTAAAGAGGGAGCAGCGTCTGCAGTCAGAGCTGTATCGGACCGTTGTGGTAAAGAGGGAGCTGAGCCGAAAGGCAAAGCTCTCAATTTACCGGTCAATCTTCGTCCCCTCCCTCACCTATGGTCATGAGCTTTGGGTAATGACCGAAAGAACAAGATCGCGGATACAAGCGGTCGAAATGAGCTTCCTCCGCAGAGTGGCTGCTCCCTTAGAGATAGGGTGAGGAGCTCAGTCACACGGGAGGAGCTCTGAGTAGAGCCGCTGCTTCTCCACGTCGAGAGGAACCAGTTGAGGTGGCTCGGGCATCTGTTCCGGATGCCTCCTGGACGCCTTCCTGGGGAGGTGTTCCGGGCACGTCCCACCGGGAGGAGGCCCCGGGGAAGACCCAGGACACGCTGGAGGGACTATGTCTCTCAGCTGGCCTGGGAACGCCTTGGGGTCCCCCCGGACGAGCTGGAGGAAGTGTGTGTGGATAGGGAAGTCTGGGCGTCTCTGCTTAGACTGCTGCCCCCGCGACCCGGCAACGGATGAAGCGGAAGAAAATGGATGGATGGATGGATTTAAAAGTGGATATCAGAGCAGTATAATATTTACAGCGTTGATTATTTTCTTGTGTCTTTTTAGTTTTTCTGGTTTGATAATCTTGGTCTATGAAGTTAAAGGGTTATTATTGTTTTGTTAAATTGATGAGTAGAAAAGGGGGCGGGGTTACATAAGTGATGATTGTAACCCCGCCCCCTTGAGGACATGATTGTTAATTTTATTTTATTTCTTGAGGGAACAAATTATACTTACATTGAACACGTGTAGGTTTTTAAATTATTTATTTATTTCCTTTTGTATTGTCCGAACAAAGACTCATTCATTCACACTGAGAGGCTACGTCACCATCGTTTAAAGCATTAGCGGCAAAGTCACGGCCCGGGCGCCAGATCTGGTCACTTCAGTTCCCCAGAGTAGTCCAGGGGCCGAGATAACGGATGGAAAAAGCTGTCTTTACTGTTCTGAGCTTTATGATGATCTATAACAGAGCTGAAGTTGGCTGAATGACACATGTTTACATCTCACCAGCTTCATTAGCATCATCAACAAAAGCGACAGAATCAAAACCACGTCAGTACAGTTTGTGCAAATAAATTCCACCACGTCCTAGGCTTTAGAACAAGGTCTATATTGGCTGAGCTGGAGTTGGCTGGATGACACAGTGACCTTGTGTTTTTGATCTCAAAGACTACTGTGAGTTATTAAGGCAAAGGGCCGGATACAATGACACTGAGGGCCGCAGTTGGCCCTCGGGCCTGAGGTTGGACATGTCTGGTCTAGATGTTTGTGAAAGTGCTGAGTTTGATTTGATAAGGAAGAAAAATGCACAATAAGCTGTAATTTTGTTTATTTTAATTTTTACTAGACCGACTGTGAATGACCAAACGACAATAAATTAAATAAAATTAAAAATTAAAAAATGAATGAAATAATGACAATCGTTTATTGTCATTTTAAAGTAACAGTTTATGAAGGAAAATGAGAAAATATGTTGAAATATTCACTGCAAAAAGTGACGTCTGAAACGGGACGGATCCGAAAACAACAAACACAAAATGCTGGATCAAAGAGGCAACAACAGCATGAACCGGGACGAGGGGCCTTCCTCCTGTCGCACACACACAGGACGAGGGGCCTTCCTCCTGTCGCACACACACAGGACGAGGGGGCCTTCCTCCTGTCGCACACACAGGACTAGGGGCCTTCCTCCTGTCGCACACACAGGATGAGGGGCCTTCCTCCTGTCGCACACACAGGACGAGGGGCCTTCCTCCTGTCGCACACACAGGACTAGGGGCCTTCCTCCTGTCGCACACACACAGGACGAGGGGCCTTCCTCCTGTCGCACACACACAGGACGAGGGGCCTTCCTCCTGTCGCACACACAGGTCTAGGGGGCCTTCCTCCTGTCGCACACACACAGGATGAGGGGCCTTCCTCCTGTCGCACACACAGGACTAGGGGGCCTTCCTCCTGTCGCACACACAGGATGAGGGACCTTCCTCCTGTCGCACACACAGGACTAGGGGCCTTCCTCCTGTCGCACACACAGGATGAGGGACCTTCCTCCTGTCGCACACACAGGACTAGGGGCCTTCCTCCTGTCGCACACACAGGATGAGGGACCTTCCTCCTGTCGCACACACAGGACTAGGGGCCTTCCTCCTGTCGCACACACAGGACTAGGGGCCTTCCTCCTGTCGCACACACAGGATGAGGGGCCTTCCTCCTGTCGCACACACAAGACTAGGGGCCTTCCTCCTGTCGCACACACAGGACTAGGGGCCTTCCTCCTGTCGCACACACAGGACTAGGGGCCTTCCTCCTGTCGCACACACAGGACTAGGGGCCTTCCTCCTGTCGCACACACAGGACTAGGGGCCTTCCTCCTGTCGCACACACAAGACTAGGGGCCTTCCTCCTGTCGCACACACAGGACTAGGGGCCTTCCTCCTGTCGCACACACAGGACTAGGGGCCTTCCTCCTGTCGCACACACAGGATGAGGGGCCTTCCTCCTGTCGCACACACAGGACTAGGGGGCCTTCCTCCTGTCGCACACACAGGATGAGGGGCCTTCCTCCTGTCGCACACACAGGACTAGGGGGCCTTCCTCCTGTCGCACACACAGGACTAGGGGGCCTTCCTCCTGTCGCACACACACAGGATGAGGGGCCTTCCTCCTGTCGCACACACAGGACTAGGGGGCCTTCCTCCTGTCGCACACACAGGATGAGGGACCTTCCTCCTGTCGCACACACAGGACTAGGGGCCTTCCTCCTGTCGCACACACAGGACTAGGGGCCTTCCTCCTGTCGCACACACAGGATGAGGGGCCTTCCTCCTGTCGCACACACAAGACTAGGGGCCTTCCTCCTGTCGCACACACAGGACTAGGGGCCTTCCTCCTGTCGCACACACAGGACTAGGGGCCTTCCTCCTGTCGCACACACAGGACTAGGGGCCTTCCTCCTGTCGCACACACAAGACTAGGGGCCTTCCTCCTGTCGCACACACAGGACTAGGGGCCTTCCTCCTGTCGCACACACAGGACTAGGGGCCTTCCTCCTGTCGCACACACAGGATGAGGGGCCTTCCTCCTGTCGCACACACAGGACGAGGGGCCTTCCTCCTGTCGCACACACAGGACGAGGGGCCTTCCTCCTGTCGCACACACGGACCCCTCCTCCACAGACCAACGACTTCCTGCTACTTTAAGCATCCAGGCTGGTTTTCATAGTTTCATTGATTCTGTGACTCTGCTTCTCCATCTCACATCTTACAGGCCAAGAACCTATGAGCCGTTTGGATTTGGGTCTCGACTCTGACTTCACTTCTCTTTCAAAAGAGCCACAAAAAGTTTTAACACAGTGGAATATACTCGGATTAAGATAAAACAACTCTCCGCTCAATCATCATGTCCTGCATGTAACGTCTGGGTCTGGTCCCTGTGTTTGCGATTACAATTGGTTGAATTTCGACCGACCAATCAGAGAGCGCGGGAGGCGGGTGTTGTAGTTAGTTGTGGGCGACGTCAAGAGTTTGCGTCGAACGGGAAGGTTGTAGTTTGGAGAAGAATGTGATAGTAAAATAGTCTGTTCTGGTTCTATCAAGAAACTGAAGTCGGAGCAAGAGGAATGTTTAGCAAAAGTAATCGCTGCAAAGATTGTGGCGCTACTCCCCACGGGCTCCGTTAGCGGCAAAGGAGATGGCTAAAGCTAGGCTAAATGCTAAAGCTAGGCTAAAGGCTAAACGCTAACAACTCACTCGGGCGCATTACAAACGTCACAGTAAACTCAGATCCAATGGTTTCAATCTGCAAAAGGAGTTAGCCCCTCCCACCTGTTCACGGAGTCAATGGAGACAATCCAGAACTTTGTATGAAATGTAATTTGTACTATGGTGTGGTACGACCAGGTTAAAAAAACACTAGATTCAAGATAGTATTAGCTCATATTGTATATTTTTTTGGTGTATAATAACTCTCTTCGTGCAATCCCTTTTAGCACAATAAGGACATACATTTCCTCCGTCCAAACCTGTCGTTCTAACTTAAAGTTGGTTCATATTTTTGACACTTTGAGCTCAGCGTTTTGATGTATTCTGTATTATTCCAGTGTTATGTAGATTTCTGATGTGTCTCAGCACAAACGTATTCATAGATGAAACAGAAGAACGGTTCAGGACTTTGCTTCCAGGTGTAAGTATTCCAGTCTGCTCTTGTCTCAGCAAACAAACACCACTCTGTCATGTGGCTCGCTCTGCTCGTCCTCTTCCTCTTCAGCGGATCCATAAATAGCCGTTCGTCTGTCCCCCTCAGAGCGGGGGCCCCTGGGAGCCGAGGGGAGGCTTCGGCACCACTGTAGCCAGCACTTCACTCTGCTCCCCTGGGAAAGCCTCACCGGTCCCTACACTCACCCTGCATCACACACTACACAGACTACACACACATTACACACACTACACACACCCTGCATCACACACTACACAGACTACACACACACTGCACACACTACACAGCGCCATACAAACCGCCTGCTAAAATAAGATACCAATTTTTGTCCAATCAGCTGTCGGCGCTGCTCTGCCCATTCGTCCGACCCCTTCTCTGACGGATTATGTTTAGAACCAGATTCAGAATCAGCTCGATTTTCAACAACATTTATAAAAATAATAATAATAAAGCATTGGTTTTATTCAGTGCTTTTCAGGACTCTCAAAGTCTCTCCAAAACATGATTCTCTCTCTCCAAACACAGTGGTGATAGACTACTACTGTAGCCACAGCTGCCCTGGGGCACACTGACAGAAGCGAGGCAACCAGTCTGTGCCATTTGAAGAAGAAGAAGAAGGTCCTTTATCCCACAGTGGGGAAATTTCAGTTTGATGAATACACATCAAGCCATGCAGTGAATATTACTTCCGAGCTCCCTATAGGCCAAGTGGGTTAAGTGTCTTGCCCAAGGACACAACGACAGCAGACATCAGTGGGAGTCGGTGGAGAGGGTTTTGTGGTGGGTTCGAATCCACGACCTTCAGGCTCAAAGGCCAATTTAGGTGAGTAAATGTATAAAATATTATTGTTGTTATATTTATAATATCATAAGTTAAGTCACTTCATCGACTCCTGATTCAATTGAAAAAGTAACAGACCGGTTTGGATCAGCTCAGAATGGTTTGGGGGCCACTGGAAATGTGAATCAGGCCGAATGTGGCCCCCAGGCCGTTTACATGAGCTGTTGTGTAAAAACGATTATCGCCGCAGAAGCTGCATCTGTTCCAATGTGTCCCTGGTCCGTGTTGACAGAGTGAGACATGTCCCTGGTCCATGTTGTCAGATTGAGCCGTGTCCTGGTCCATGTTGAGAGAGTGAGACATGTTCTGGTCCATGTTGACAGAGTGAGCCGTGTCCTGGTCCATATTGACAGAGTGAGACGTGTCCTGGTCCATGTTGACAGAGTGAGCCGTGTCCTGGTCCATGTTGACAGAGTGAGACATGTTCTGGTCCATGTTGACAGAGTGAGCCGTGTCCTGGTCCATATTGACAGAGTGAGACGTGTCCTGGTCCATGTTGACAGAGTGAGCCGTGTCCTGGTCCATGTTGACAAAGTGAGACGTGTCCTGGTCCATGTTGACAGAGTGAGCCGTGTCCTGGTCCATGTTGACTGAGTGAGCCGTGTCCTGGTCTATGTTGACAGAGTGAGACATGTCCCTGGTCCATGTTGTCAGAGTGAGACGTGTCCTGGTCCATGTTGACAGAGTGAGACATGTCCCTGGTGCATGTTGTCAGAGTGAGACGTGTCCCTGGTCCATGTTGACAGAGTGAGACGTGTCCTGGTCCATGTTGACAGAGTGAGACGTGTCCTGGTCCATGTTGACAGAGTGAGATGTGTCCTGGTCCATGTTGTCAGAGTGAGACGTGTCCTGGTCCATGTTGTCAGAGTGATACGTGTCCTGGACCATTTTGACAGAGTGAGACATGTCCCTGGTCCATGTTGTCAGAGTGAGCCGTGTCCTGGTCCATGTTGACTGAGTGAGCCGTGTCCTGGTCCATGTTGACAGAGTGAGCCGTGTCCTGGTTCATATTGACAGAGAGCCGTGTCCTGGTCCATGTTGACAGAGTGAGCCATGTCCTGGTCCATGTTGACTGAGTGAGCCGTGTCCTGGTCCATGTTGACAGAGTGAGCCGTGTCTTGGTCCATGTTGACAGAGGGAAACGTGTCCCTGGTCCATGTTGACAGAGTGAGACGTGTCCTGGTCCATGTTGACAGAGTGAGCCGTGTCCTGGTCCATGTTGACAGAGTGAGCCGTGTCCTGGTCCATGTTGACAGAGTGAGCCGTGTCTTGGTCCATGTTGACAGAGGGAGACGTGTCCTGGTCCATGTTGACAGAGTGAGACATGTCCTGGTCCATGTTGACAGAGTGAGACGTGTCCCTGGTCCATGTTGACAGAGTGAGACGTGTCCCTGGTCCATGTTAACAGAGTGAGCCGTGTCCTGGTCCATGTTGACAGAGTGAGACGTGTCCCTGGTCCATGTTGACAGAGTGAGACGTGTCCCTGGTCCATGTTGACAGAGTGAGCCATGTCCTGGTCCATGTTGACAGAGTGAGCCGTATCCTGGTCCATGTTGACAGAGTGAGACGTGTCCCTGGTCCATGTTGACAGAGTGAGCCGTGTCCTGGTCCATGTTGACAGAGTGAGCCGTGTCCTGGTCCATGTTGACAGAGTGAGCCGTATCCTGGTCCATGTTGACAGAGTGAGCCGTATCCTGGTCCATGTTGACAGAGTGAGCCGTGTCCTGGTCCATGTTGACAGAGTGAGCCGTGTCCTGGTCCATGTTGACAGAGTGAGCCGTGTCCTGGTCCATGTTGACAGAGTGAGGCGTGTCCTGGTCCATGTAGACAGAGTGAGACGTGTCCCTGGTCCATGTTGACAGAGTGAGACGTGTCCCTGGTCCATGTTGACAGAGTGAGCCGTGTCCTGGTCCATGTTGCCAGAGTGAGCCGTGTCCTGGTCCATGTTGACAGAGTGAGCCGTGTCCAGGTCCATGTTGACAGAGTGAGGCGTGTCCTGGTCCATGTAGACAGAGTGAGACGTGTCCCTGGTCCATGTTGACAGAGTGAGACGTGTCCCTGGTCCATGTTGACAGAGTGAGACGTGTCACTGGTCCATGTTGACAGAGTGAGCCATGTCCTGGTCCATGTTGACAGAGTGAGACGTGTCCTGGTCCATGTTGACAGAGTGAGCCGTGTCCTGGTCCATGTTGAGAGAGTGAGCCGTGTCCTGGTCCATGTTGACAGAGTGAGCCGTGTCCTGGTCCATGTTGACAGATGTTTTGGGTTTGATGAAGATCTGAAGTGCTCGGTGTCGCTCTGATTCCCGACAGCGGAAACACAGTCAACAAACTGTTAGTTCTGGGTTTTTTCTCCTCTGGAGCGTCTGACAAACGCAAATCAACATGAAACAGATAAATACTCCGACAGCTCTCGCTCCGCATGTAAAACACTCCAATTACATGACATTTAAGCGTCTCGTCCCTGTGCTCTTCAAAGAGGAGTGTTTGAAGAGACTCGATCCTCGGGTAATTCACTGATCCAGCAAAATGACATAAAGCAACACACGAGAATTAGTCTTTTCACAGAAAGACAGAGACTGGATCATTGTGGACCTGAAAGAGACCAGCTGTTTTTGACACACAATGGAACATATCTATTGTGTCAGAACTTTACATTGGAGCTGAATGAGTAAAAACAGCAACATACAGGACAGAGCAAAAGTCTGGACACCCTCTCTCTTTCACTGACTTCTTTTCATGACTATTGCTGTATATCCACACCAGGCTGTGTAAGGGCTGGACCTGAACCCAGTCCAGATGGTTTTGGACCTGAACCCAGTCCAGATGGTTTTGGGGCTGGACCACAGAGTGAAGGGGCCCACAAGTGCTAAGCATCATGGGAACTCCTTCCAGACTGTTGGAGACCATTTCAGGTCCTGTTGAAGCTCATCCAGAGAATGCCAAGAGTGAAGCAGTATCAGAGCAAAATGAGCTACTTTGAAGAACCAGAATATAACACATATTTACACTTGGTTCATACTTTTTTACTACGAACATAATTCACATGAGTTCATCATAGGTTTGATGCCCTCAGTGTCAATCTACTATTTTATAATCATGACAATAAAGAACTCTTTGGTCTGTGCTGTACATTTGAAGGATAATGTTTAGGACGCAGGTCATTATCAGAAAATAAGTACAAACAGGACAAATTGGGTAATGGAGAGGAGGAAGAGGAGGAGGAAGAGGAGGAGGAGGAGGAGGAGGAGGAAGAGGAGGAGGAAGAGGAGGAGGAGGAGGAGGAGGAGGAGGAGGAGGAGGAAGAGGAGGAGGTGAACAGTGGATCTCGGTCCGATGATAAAGATCCTTAGTGCGTCCTGTGAGTCCCACTCCTGAACGAGGCCGACATGGTCTTCCTCAGTTTGGATCGATGACAGAGAGAGTTCAGGCCGAGGTGAGTCGTGTCCAGTGGAAGAGGAAGAGCAGAAGAAGAGAGTGATACATCATCAATAAGAAGCAGCCTCAGATACTGCTGCTGTTTGGACACAGCCGCTCTGACCCTGTGCTATGCTCTTGAATAAATAAACGTCTATCTGTCTCCTCCTCCTCCTCCTCCTCCTCCACCGCCTCCTCCTCCTCCTCCTCCTCCTCCTCCTCCTCCTCCTCCTCCTCCTCCTCCTCCTCCTCTGCCCCGAGCCTCAAACTGCATCTCACATCCACAACTCAATCATCGCTCGGCTCAAGCTCGGGCCAAATGTTTGTAACAAGTTCAGTTTGAAAAAAGAAAAGTGAAATGGAAAGAAATCGATGTATTCTCTGAAAGTCATACACAGGGCCAGACGGTTTAATAATAATGAATAATTTATGCTTTAGTTTTATACAGCGCACATGTCATTGTACTTTCACAGCAAACACAGTGTTAAACTACTGTAGCCACAGCTGCCCTGGGGCACACTGACAGGAGCAAGGCAACCAGTCTGTGCCATCGGCCCCTCCCACACCAGGATCCCTGGGCCTGTCTCTGTGACTCCTCCATCAGACGTCACAATCACATCCAGAGAAGACATTTAAGAGTTTAGGAAATTTTGTTTAGACTCAGAATCCTGGAGTTCAAACATCAGAGAAAAGACCTCTCATCTCCTCTGCCCTTGTCCTCTCCCCTCCAGAGCACCTCCTCTCTCCCCTCGGCTCCTTCTCCTCCTCTCCCCTCCTCTTCCTCTTCTCCACCTCTCCTCTCCTCCTCCTCTCCCCTCCTCCACCTCTCCCCTCCTCCACCTCTCCCCTCCTCTCCTCCAGAGCTCCACCTTTCCTCTCCTCCTCCTCTCCTCTCCTCCAGAGCCCCACCTCTCCTCCTCATCTCCCCTTGGCTCCTTCTCCTCCTCATCTCCCCTCCTCTTGTCCAGAGCACATCCTCTGCACCTCCTCTCCTCCAGAGAAAGGAGGAACTGATCCCCAGAGAACCACAAACTCATTTATAATATTTATACAAAGAGTGAGGACTTTAAAACTATTTCCTTTCATCTGCTCAGTATCAAACAAAAACATGACAACGCTTTTGTTCAAACAGATTGTGTGTCCGTGTAAAAGTGTGTATCCTCCTGGTATAGAACCATGTGTGTCTGTGTGTAAAAGTGTGTATCCTCCTGGTATAGAACCATGTGTGTCTGTGTAAAAGTGTGTATCCTCCTGGTATAGAACCATGTGTGTCTGTGTGTAAAAGTGTGTATCCTCCTGGTATAGAACCATGTGTGTCTGTGTAAAAGTGTGTATCCTCCTGGTATAGAACCATGTGTGTCTGTGTAAAAGTGTGTATCCTCCTGGTATAGAACCATGTGTGTCTGTGTAAAAGTGTGTATCCTCCTGGTATAGAACCATGTGTGTCTGTGTAAAAGTGTGTATCCTCCTGGTATAGAACCATGTGTGTCTGTGTAAAAGTGTGTATCCTCCTGGTATAGAACCATGTGTGTCTGTGTAAAAGTGTGTATCCTCCTGGTATAGAACCATGTGTGTCTGTGTAAAAGTGTGTATCCTCCTGGTATAGAACCATGTGTGTCTGTGTAAAAGTGTGTATCCTCCTGGTATAGAACCATGTGTGTCTGTGTAAAAGTGTGTATCCTCCTGGTATAGAACCATGTGTGTCTGTGTGTAAAAGTGTGTATCCTCCTGGTATAGAACCATGTGTGTCTGTGTAAAAGTGTGTGTCCTCCTGGTATAGAACCATGTGTGTCTGTGTAAAAGTGTGTATCCTCCTGGTATAGAACCATGTGTGTCTGTGTAAAAGTGTGTATCCTCCTGGTATAGAACCATGTGTGTCTGTGTGTAAAAGTGTGTATCCTCCTGGTATAGAACCATGTGTGTCTGTGTAAAAGTGTGTATCCTCCTGGTATAGAACCATGTGTGTCTGTGTAAAAGTGTGTATCCTCCTGGTATAGAACCATGTGTGTCTGTGTGTAAAAGTGTGTATCCTCCTGGTATAGAACCATGTGTGTCTGTGTAAAAGTGTGTATCCTCCTGGTATAGAACCATGTGTGTCTGTGTGTAAAAGTGTGTATCCTCCTGGTATAGAACCATCTGTGTCTGTGTAAAAGTGTGTATCCTCCTGGTATAGAACCATGTGTGTCTGTGTAAAAGTGTGTATCCTCCTGGATAGAACCATGTGTGTCTGTGTAAAAGTGTGTATCCTCCTGGTATAGAACCATGTGTGTCTGTGTGTAAAAGTGTGTATCCTCCTGGTATAGAACCATGTGTGTCTGTGTAAAAGTGTGTATCCTCCTGGTATAGAACCATGTGTGTCTGTGTAAAAGTGTGTATCCTCCTGGTATAGAACCATGTGTGTCTGTGTGTAAAAGTGTGTATCCTCCTGGTATAGAACCATCTGTGTCTGTGTAAAAGTGTGTATCCTCCTGGTATAGAACCATGTGTGTCTGTGTAAAAGTGTGTATCCTCCTGGTATAGAACCATGTGTGTCTGTGTAAAAGTGTGTATCCTCCTGGTATAGAACCATCTGTGTCTGTGTAAAAGTGTGTATCCTCCTGGTATAGAACCATGTGTGTCTGTGTAAAAGTGTGTATCCTCCTGGTATAGAACCATTTGTGTCTGTGTAAAAGTGTGTATCCTCCTGGTATAGAACCATGTGTGTCTGTGTAAAAGTGTGTATCCTCCTGGTATAGAACCATGTGTGTCTGTGTGTATCCTCCTGGTATAGAACCATGTGTGTCTGTGTAAAAGTGTGTATCCTCCTGGTATAGAACCATGTGTGTCTGTGTGTATCCTCCTGGTATAGAACCATGTGTGTCTGTGTAAAAGTGTGTATCCTCCTGGTATAGAACCATGTGTGTCTGTGTGTATCCTCCTGGTATAGAACCATGTGTGTCTGTGTAAAAGTGTGTATCCTCCTGGTATAGAACCATGTGTGTCTGTGTGTATCCTCCTGGTATAGAACCATGTGTGTCTGTGTGTATCCTCCTGGTATAGAACCATGTGTGTCTGTGCCCTGACGCTGTAGCTTAAGCTTCCCTCGGCTCCAGGGACTTAGCTCCGGATGGAAACAGCTTTGGTCCAACAGAACTACAACAAATGTGAGAGGAGGGGTCGGGGGTCGGAGGTCAGAGGTCAGAGGTGGGACCAGGCTCTTTCCAGGGCCCATTAAACTCCTAAACTTCTCTGAGACCGAACCCCTGCGAGGGCCGGGGTAATGGTGCGTTCAGACCAAACGCGATTTCTGCGGCCAAAGCGGCGGGTCTACATTGACACAACATGGGGGACGCGCGCCAAGGAGCGGCGAGAGATCACGCGGCGCGATTCGCGCGGCCAGAGCGGCGCGAATTCGAGCGTTTCGCGCGATTCGCGCGGCGTGTTTTGAGATGTCAAGCGTTTTGACGCGCGTTTCGCGCGATTCGTGCCTCCAACGCGGCCGCCGCTAGAGTTGAACAATGTTGAACTTTTTGGGAGAATTCGCGTGTGCCGACCAATCAGGAGCTTTCTCCTCCAGTGACGTAGTGACGCATTTCACTACCGGAAAAACACTGGTAGATGACAGCTATGGAGGACACGTCAATTGCGCAGGTCGGTGCTCATTCTGAGCTATATAACACTGCGGACCACAGCTACCGGGACCGAAATAAAAAGGAGCTTGCTTGGAGGAGGGTTAGCGAGGTGGTTGGTGTCTCGGGTAAGTTATTTTAACTTTTCAATGTTGTAAATATTTCCCCGCGAAAAAAACTACTACTTTCCTGCTTACGAGTTGATGTGTTTATTCAGTGGAAGTTTGCAAAAAGCGGTGGAAGAATCTGAGGGACACATATGAGGTGCTGAAGGTCGGTGTCATGCAGCAAACGGAGACCTCGAACAGTTGGAAAAAATACATTTCTTTCCTTTCTATTACCCACATTTTGCTGACTTTTACATTTATATTGCTTTCTGTGTATGCATTTCTTTTAATGCTTTCTTAACATCATGGCCAGGTGAAAATAGGCATTGGCTATTTTCAAACCAGGATAGATCTTGATCATGTGTTGTGTTAAATTTCACTTTTCCCTTTTATATGAACAAATCATTTAAATGTACATAATAATGTACATTATTATGTACATATAAATGTCATCAGCGCAATGTACACATGATATGAAATAATTGTATTTCTTGTTTTCTTCTGGCGCAGATACTGCCACCACCACACAAGGTGAGACATCTTGGCCTGAGCTGCCTGCTGCTGCTGCTGCTTCCTCAGCCGGTTCTTCTTCTGTGAGGGCTGGACCTTCCCCTGCTTCTGCACCTACAGGTGTGGCTTTTTTTAATCATTGTTTTATTTTTATTCTTATTACAGGACTGTTCATATAAACAAAATGTTACTGCATAATATGCCAAAATTACCCAAGGGCTGTTACATCAGTGTAGACGACAAATTTACAGAGAAACGACAAGATGTCAAGGCACTACAGGTGGAAAGAAGCTTTGGTCTGATACAACACATCTTCCCTCTTTCTTTGATAAAAACATACTACTGAAATACCTTATGCTATAAAAGTACTGAACAAATACATGCAATGGTTGCCACAAGATGGCAGCTATCCTGTTTAATGCAGACAATAGAGTATTACTTTTTTACAGCCAATTTCAAATTTCATTGCGAAATACACTTCAGAGATATTAGTTTGTAACTGTCGAAATTTGTGCATGTGTGAGTAATTTCATTGATAACTGCAATGTTCAAGTTAATTGTAACAAACACACAACTTAAAAGTGTTTTACATGTGTTTAACTATGTCTACACACTCTGGCTTTAATACAGATATTATTTGCTCTCTTCATTTTGCTTTTTTGAAATACATGTTCCACTTTTTAACACTGTGATTGCCCTGTGTTCTTTGTTGGCGGCTCTACGGACGTGGGCCTCTTCCGAGCCCTCTTCCTTGGTGGGCCTTCAGAGTGGGAGCGGGAGCTGCTGGAGACTCTACGGACCAAAGCAGCCGGACCGCCCGACTACTCAGAAGAACATCAGTTCCTGCTCTCTCTCTTTCCTCTCCTGCAAAGGGTGGCACCAGAGTCAAAAGAATTTGTGAAATTCAAAATGTACCAACTTTTATATGAAAGCAGCACCGTTCTGCTTAATTTGGAACCATTGGCCAGTACAGTTTTTTTTACCTAAGGTGACACCTTTTGCAGGGGAGGAAACAGACATGTGTCCCTTTCCTCTTCCACCGCACCTCCTCCAAGCAAGCTCCTTTTCATTTGTTTATATGTACATTTAATTTATTTTTCATTGTTTGTTCCTTTTTTTATAAAGAAAATATTTTTCAAACCTCATGTGTTCTACTTCAAGCCAACCATTACTACCTTTCATATAATATTGACAGAAAATGCTATTCTATATTTGTACATTTACTTTTATAAGAGCTGACTGGGTTTTATAGAAGATGGAATAACAAACACTTAAAGAGCGATACAGTAGTTGACAGTATTTTTTATTCATTTCACCTTTTACTGTTTTAACAACCTTGTAATTATGGAAAAGCTTGAATGTGCATATGATTAACCTGAAGTTGGAGTGGAGTCGCAGTGGAGTCTGGCAGTCATTACCTAGAAACAGAAGGTATACAGGTGAATAGAATAGTGCAAATCAATATGGGTTTGGACTATGGCCAGATGTGGGTCAGTCTTGTGGTGGACATGACTACTCTGTGGGCTGCCACGGCAGTGCTCCCTCCTCACTGAAGTGGGCCATGAACACTTTCCTTATGTCCACTGCTGGCTTCCAGGCGGCCATCCGCTGCACGCCTGGAAGTGGTTCTTCACCGGCAGCAGCTCCCCTCGGTGCAGGAACCTGCCCATCTCCAGCCATCCTCATCCTCATCCTGGAGATGGGCAGGGCGCATTAAATTGCAG